GCCCATGCGGCCGCCGCCGCCGCCGGCCGCCGCGCCCATGCGGCCGCCGGCCGCGGCCATGCGGCCGCCCGCAGGCGCCGCGGGCCCCATGCGGCCGCCGGGGACCGCAGGCTTCCTGTCACTCGGGCTCTTGGCGCCGCCGCCGCCGTTGGCCGCAGCCCCGCCCAGCTTGGCGCCGCCCGCCTCACCCTCCGCGCCGTCCTTCTCCTCATTCTCATCCTCGTCGTCAGGGGGTCCCCCGTCCGCCGTGGGGTGCCGCCGACACAGCAGGTGCGTCGGCTGGCGGCGCGCGCTGAACACGAAGTCGCTGCGCAGCTGCCCGGTGGCCGGGTCCACCAGGCGGCTCGTCGGCGCCCAGCCCTCGGGCGGCACGATGAGCGCGATGCCGCCCGCGGCGGCTTTCGGGGCGATGCTTTTCAGGAATGCAAAGGGGTTGGCAAAATCCTCGGCGGTCGGATAGAAGGTCGGGGCCTCTGGGATGTGCGTTTGGGGGATGCCGCGCTGCGGGTCCCAGCGCGCTTTGGGCCGCGACACGCGCGGCGCGCGGCGGCAGCGCATGCAGCCGGCCTGCGTAGCGACCGGCGGGCGACGCGGCGGGACATTACGCGCGGGCGAGGTTGCGGGCCGCTCAGGGGTGGATTCGAATGGGACGGGGAGAGGAGGGATCGCGAGCGGCGGGGGCGCGCGGGGGTCGCGCGGCGTGCGCATCGCCGCACATCGCGTTGCCTCCACCAACAGACGCTCGGGAGCTGCGATCGCATGAGCATGCAGCCGCGCGACCTGGTGCTCGCTGATAATGCACACACCTCTGAAAACCCGCAGCCATCGCAGCCGTACATGTACTCGAAGCGCGGGTTGGCAGCAGGGCGGCGCTTCTTGGCGGTGTCGCCTGCGCCGCGCGACCCCGCAGCGCCACCCGTCCCCTACAGGCGCGGTCACGGAGGCGTGAGAAGCAGCGGGGGCCCGGAGGATAGGAAACGGGGGTCTCGGGTGGTGCAGCAGTGCCCAGCAGCTGCTGCAGCATTGCACACAAGGGGTCCTTGATGTGCAGCTCCCTGGAGCCTCCAGCTCGCCCCAGAGCGCGAAATAATATACGAAATAGCATCTTCACACCTCGCGGGAAGCCGGGGGCCCCATGGCTAGATTCTGCCGAGCAGGGACCTCAGACTGTCTGCAGGCTGTGTGGATGTGCAGCTGTCTCCAACGATATCGTATGAGGCATACGGTGACCCGTATCTCAAGGTTTTTGTGTGGATAACAGGGCTGTTCTGTTTGCTGCCCGTCGGTGTGCGCGGCGCCTCCACCCGCCAGGCGATGTCGCCCGCCTGCTGCAGTGTTGGATCTTACTGTTGGCCGGGTGATCACGCGGGCGTGGCACGACACCGTGGCCCTGTATCATCTCAGAAATGCTTTTGGATGAGCAAAACAGGCCAGATCTTGGGGTCTATGGTAGGGCAAGGCCTTTTGCACGCCATCGATTGACAGTCCATGCGCTGGCGTTGGCAAGCAATGGCAGCAAGTCGCATGCAGGGCCCTGCCGTCCCCTGGACCTGCGCGCATGACACCCTCTCCTTGCACAAGCAGACGTGGCGCACCGGATTGTGGCCCTCCGACACGTGTGCACTCACACACCTGCCGGCATGGGCCCGGCATCGGGCCAGCGTCGAATGGACCATTCGGCTCAGCTGCCACCTCAGTGCCAGGTGGACACCATCGTGCAGCCGGCAAGCCGAGCATGCGCCCAATCAAGATTACTCCGCAGAGATCCCATGCACCTCCTCCCGAGCCTCAGTGCTCAAGCGCCCACACATCATCTAGCCTGCGGTTCTCACAATCGACCCCGCCCGACACCACCAGCCGCCCCCCCACCGCCGCCGCCGCAAACCAGCCCCGCGCGCACGGTGCCGCCGCGCCCGCGGCCGGCCGGGGCTCCGAATGCAGAGGGTGGGCGTCCCTCCCGTCCAGTGCGATGCAAAACACCTGCGAACGAGCGGAGGGGGCGCTTTTGAGTCGGTCCCGCCTTCAGCCAGCGGCTGTCCCCGGGCAGGAATGAAGCTGCGTGCTTGGGCTGCGATGCATGCAGGGCAAAAAAACCGGCCAGCCGGCGCACGCAGCGCGCGGCAGCACAGGCGGGGACGGGGACGGGCGAGGGAGGGGTCGGCGCTGAAAGCAAAAGCAGGGTCGGGGCCGCGCGCCTCGTCGCTGAAGCCGCCGGCGCCTGCATGGCCCTGCGTGGAGGGGTCGACCTGCGGAGGGGAGGGTCCGGGATGAGACCAGAGCGGGCGCCGGGGGGGCCGGGGGGCGTACGCCAGCAGAGGGCTTGCGGGGGTCGTCTGCTCGGGCTGGGCGCCACCGGCCCCACTGCCGCGCACTGAGCCGGGAGCGAGGCGCCCGCCGCAGAGTGTGGTGCTGGGGCAAACAGGTCCCTTCCATGCCCTGGAATTGGCGCAACCGATAGGCACAGTGCGGTCTTCATCCCTCGCAGTACGAGCGTTTGCAAGCTTTCGCTGCGCACCACACCTCGCCGCCGAAGAGGACGACGTGCCCAGCGTGCCCGCACCCGTCGCCGCCGCACGCGTGCACCGCCGCCCCAAACACGCTCCGCGGCGGGATCGCCGCCGCGCAGCCGCCGCACGCGGCGCCGGCGGCGCCCTCGGCGGGGCAGAGCCAGCGGGCGGCGGCGACGTCGTAGGTGTGGCAGTCGCCCCTCTCCTGGCCTGAAAAGCCGCCCAGGACAAGCAACTTGTCCCCTGCGGTGGCGCGGGAGGGGGCGGCGCGAGCGGGTGCGCGAAGGTGTGACGAGGGGCGCGGCAGGCGCGCCGCAGCGCCCTGCTCCAACGCCGGCGGGTCATCTGTGACGCGCGCCCGCGGCCCGCGGCGCGCGCGGCGCGTCGCGCGCCCTCGCCGCGGCGTCGGCGGC